AAGGTTTATCTTCTAACATGACAATGACCAAAAGCACACAGCAAAACTGACCACAGTGGTTGAAGGAGAAAAAGGTGAATGTCCTTGCATGGCCTAGTCAGAGCCCAGACTTAAACCCCACTGAAAATCTGTGGAATGACTTGAAGACTGCAGTCCACAAACGCTCACCATCAAATTTAACTGAACTTGAGCAATTCTGCAAAGTAGAGGCATATCCCAACAGACTAAAGGCTGTAATTAAAGCAAAAGGTGGTTCAACAAAATACTTTTCTATGCCCACTGTATATTTTCATTGCCATGATTTGTTCCAGGAGAAGAGACAAATCTCCTACAAATAACAAATGATGTCAACAAAAAGAGAAGGAGGGTCAACTATTATGTGCAGTGTGTATGTGGCCATAGAGGTTAGCTCATTAAGTAATAACATTAACATGAGGGAAGTCATATCAACAGACACATTTACATATTCACAAGTTTAGAGTACATCAAACTATAAGCAAAACCCTTTCATGACCAAAGAGTCAAAACAAGGAGCTGACAGTGAGGTGTGGTTATGCTGACTGCAGTGATGCAGATTGACAGGCAGGGGGAAGTATTTACAACATTCATGACATCCTTCTGAAAATAGTTTTGCTGCTCAAGAATCATTTCTTATCACTACTGTTGAAAACAGTTCTGCTTAATATTTTTGTAAAAACCCTGATAATTTTCAGCATTCTTTGATTTGATCTTTTGAACATCATTTATTTGAAACAATATTTTTCTAACTACAGTATATAAATGTCTTTACTGTTGTTTTTGATCCATTTAATGTGTCCATACTAAAAAAAAAAAAAATAAATAAAAAAGGAAACCTTAAAAAAACTACTTTTTACAACTTACAGTTTTTAATACTTCAAATCAGAGTCAAAGCTTTCAGGAGAGCGTAAGGATAGGAGGAACCAGTTGGGGATTTCTGAAATGAGGCCAAATCCTCCTCTGTTCACTCCTCCTGAGCACTCAGAGTCTGGTATAGATGTGGGTTTTGTCTGAGTCATGGTTCTGTAGGGGGTGAAATGTATCAAGCCTTTCAAAGCACATCACAAACTCAACCTCACTGGCTGGCACCTCGAATTTCACATCGCAGCACGAACCACTGGCTTTGATGTCTCCAAGTGAACACAGACTGCCTGCTCCTCTCAGCTTTAGGCAGTTGTACACGCGGTATGACGCTTGTGGGCAGTGACATGAATCTGCTGGATGAGGAAGGGGTTGCACTAAAGTGATCTAATCACAGACCAGGGTTCAACTATTAAAGATGACCCACTGACACAGGGAAAAGTGTGAAAGAAGCATTTACACAGCACGGTTTTCAACTAAAAACAGAAAACTTTGAATGCATTTTGCCGTTCATTTACACGACAACAACGTTTGGGGGGCCTGAAAATGCACACTTTTGAAAACAGGTTTTAAAATGCAAGTTTTTGAAAACAATACCATTATCATCTCCATGTACAAAAATGCAAATCTGTGAAAACAGTGACATCATGCGTATTATGTGTCAGTCTATAGGCTTGTGCGCAGGCAAGCAGCACTTCTTTACAATGTGACATTGCCAACTATTGGCCTGGCATGCATAATACAGTACAGTGTTTTGTCATTTTTTGTCAATTGTATTATTACAAATTATAAACATATATTACACATACATTATTGTTATTTTATTATGTAATTATTATATATAATTATATAAAAAGTAAATAAACATCCAGATTTCCCATACTACAGAACATTGAAATCTCCTTTTCTCTCTCTTTATCCTTAAAACCTCCATAAATGCACACTCTGAGAAGAGAAGGAACTAAGCTGGGTGATTTGTCTATGTGCAGCCAATAAGCACTCCAGCGTGACTTAGGCATGGCCACCCATGTGATAAAATGCATGATGGGAGTGATTGCCCACACTTGTCTCACATGATACTCTCCATCACTCTCTCTCTCAACCACACGCACTCAAGCAAAGCCATGTCCATCTCACACGCAATATAGAACACTAACAATATGCCAAAACCAGGATACGGTCTCAATCATTCAAACACATGCCAAACCAGCCTTTGCCTTCACACATACTTCAACAGATGGATCTAAGCCAAACCAAACTCTGAAACACACTTAATGTTAAAAACTGCTGACGCGTTTAAAATATTCTAAGTGTAAAAACACAAAGCATATGCCTGAGGTTGAACGACAGTACTAAGTCCACACAATTATTTAGGAATTAATATACATTACTAGCTTCATAAATATAACCATGGAGGTTTACATACAATGATTAAGCATTTAATGCAGGTAATATGAAATTAAACACCAACAAAACAGCAGTCATGAGTTGACTGAAAATGTACTTTAAGAAGTGTGTGTGTGTGTCTCTGTGTGTGTGTGTGTTTTGGCAGGTTGCTTGTGGAGAAAGCAAACTGATCTCAGGAGGGGTTTAAAAATGGGAAATGTTGTGTTCAAATTGGGTTCAGATCTCTGATGTATTTAACAGCCACTGCAGCCCTCCACGTTGTTAAAGGGGTCATCGGATGCAAAATTCACTTTTGTTGTTGTTTGAACATAAATGTGTGTTGGAAGTGTGTGTAAACATCCATCCTATAATGATAAAAATCCACCCAGTGGTTTTTTTTAAATCCCTATTTTAAAATTCTCTTTCTCAAATCAGGCTGTTCTGAGATTCCTGTCAGAATGAAGTAATTCTGTCATCAGTCCACCATTGTGTCGACTCCGGTGCAGGGGAAGACAAGAATGTCTCAGATTAAGCAATTGAGGTGTTTTGTTGTTGGATGTAATAATGAACATAGCAGTCGTCATTTACTCCCGACATTTGAGCCGCTGAAGACGCAGAGGATTAACGTTACTTTCGTTT